AAAATAATAAAAATTAAATAAACAAAAGAAAAACAGCCAAAATCGATCAAAATGTTGATGACTTGATCAGCTGATCACAAGTTTATGTATAAAATGATTTTTATATTAATGATCTCAAAACAGTTTACAATAGTGGTATTCACCAAATTGTTGTCAACAGTCGTTGCTTGAGCTCATCTGCTATTTTGCCAGAGTGCCAGGCCACTTGCTCACTTTGGTAAATATCACTAATGAATTTTAAATGTGCTCTGTCGAAATGACATTTTAATATACCTTACGTACATATGTACCTTTGTATACAATAAAAGTTTAATAAGAACAATTCTGTATGCATACATGGAAAATACGTTTTTGGGTAGGAAATAACGTTTTTTCAGACCAAGAGAGACGTTTTCTCATGCCAAAAACCTGGCAACACTGGCTACGAGTACGAGCTACGAGCGCCTCGTTGCCTGCGAGGCATTGAGTAGGAGTTTGCTCGCTCGCTCGCTCGAACTCCGAGTTTTTTCCTACTCTGGTTTCTGTATATGTAATAAAAATGATACAAAGATACATTACTTTTTAGCCATTTTGTACAGAGCTTCGGATGCATACTGTTTTTTAATTTTTTATATTATATATTTATACCAGGATTTTTTGTAACATTTTTTCTTGAATCAAGAGCATGAATTATATTACCCTGATTTATTTAACAAATGAAAAAAGCATGAAAAGAAGGGTTAAACGACAGCCTCAATACATAATCGTCAATACGCAAATGTTATCTCCAAGTCAGATTCTAAATTCTATGACGGTTTCTTTTTTCCTCCTATTCGGCTTTGTTTACTTGTACTTGAGAAATATCACTACCGCCGGGAATGCGTAATTTAATATCCTATAATTCTTGGGTGGCGCCGTCAATGCTACCCAGTGTTACCGCTGAAAATTTTACGAAAGTCGCAAAAATGTGTCACCGCCGAAAATCTGTCCTCAAGTAATTCAAATCTTTTATACCATGTATATAAAGGCTTTTATTATTTTATTCATAGTCGAAATAAAATCGACTTTTAGGCTAGATATAGCTTTTTGACATAATTTCCAATGGAAACTGTCAAAAAAGCTGCACCTAACATTAGACTCGACTTTATTTCCTTTATGAGTATGAACAATTATTTTTAATAGATAACTAATAATGGAGATCATTTTCTGCAAAAAAATAAAATAAAATATTCTCTTAAAATAAAAACCAATTGAATACCCAATAGCCAATATGCATATTTTGTATTTATTATGAAAAGAAAATTGCAGTTAAAGAAGTATTTACATCAATATAACACAAAAGTAACATTAGTAGATAACATTTATTATAACAAAGTCTTTTAATCTTGTATATAAATTATGACAGATTATTTGTTTGTACTGGAAGCTACGAAAACGAATTTAACACAAATAACTTAGGGAAATGCTAAGCTACAAGAACGGTACACAAATTCTTGATCTTTCTGGACATTTTTGCGGTCAAATTTTGACATAACAAAAAGGATTAAATCAGTAAAAATCTTGCCAGAGATGTAAATTTAAAGCGCATTTGAAAAGTAAATACTATAGACCAATTTAAAATGAATATTTAAATGGCACTTAAGTTTAATTGTCGATTGTAGTTTTAACTATCGTTGGGTTTCAGATTAACTTTGTTTAAATATGCCAAACAATTGGCAGCACTGCTGCTTGTTCCTTGAAATTATTGTTGCATTTGCTTGTTTATTTACATTTTGTGCTAAACAGCTGATTGTTTTTTTGGTGGGATTTGGTGGGATTGAGTAAGCAACCTACCAATCAATCTTGGTTGTTTGGTACAAACACTGGGGTGCATATCTCATATTTAAATAGCCAATATTGGCCATTTAAGTGCAGATTAAATGAATGATCTGAAAATGAATAGTGGAAGTTGCCAGGTTTTTGGCATGAGAAAACGTCTCTCTTGGTCTGAAAAAACGTTATTTCCTACCCAAAAACGTATTTTCCATGTATGCATACAGAATTGTTCTTATTAAACTTTTATTGTATACAAAGGTACATATGTACGTAAGGTATATTAAAATGTCATTTCGACAGAGCACATTTAAAATTCATTAGTGATATTTACCAAAGTGAGCAAGTGGCCTGGCACTCTGGCAAAATAGCAGATGAGCTCAAGCAACGACTGTTGACAACAATTTGGTGAATACCACTATTGTAAACTGTTTTGAGATCATTAATATAAAAATCATTTTATACATAAACTTGTGATCAGCTGATCAAGTCATCAACATTTTGATCGATTTTGGCTGTTTTTCTTTTGTTTATTTAATTTTTATTATTTTTTCATAAAAGCCTAGCTCATTTTATAACTAACACAATATAAATCCACATTTCAAAATTTGTGCAAAACTTATAAAAAATCTGCAACGTTTCAGCTGGATTTTCAAGTTTTTATTCAGAATTTTTAGAATTTTTTTGAGTATGCAGTTTGATAGTCCATTAAATTCCAGGGTAATAATGTGGAAGTTTTAAGTTGCTTAAGAATCGCGTTGATTTTTAATATATATTTTTTTCTTGTAGACATTTGGCTAGGTGGTCGGTAGTTGAAAATGCGAAATTACGTTCTGCTAAGAAGGAACATTGTGCTTTTGCGAGCGTGCGACTTGCAATAGATCAGCTCTTCCTGATTTGGCTTTCAATATGCAATTGAAAACATTGTCAAAAAAATAATGCGCGTACGCTTGGTTTGCATCATATTTAAGTCATATGTGTTCAAAGAATAAATATCGTTTGAGGCACCTGCTGCAAAAAAAAGCTTGTAAAGATTTATTAAGAAAATAATTCAAAATCAGTTCTACTTACAAGATTTATTAACAAATTTGCCGAAAGTGTGAGCGTAAGTACTTACTCTACAAGCAAATAGTACGCTATACATTGAATATATTGAGCGTAGAGAAAAATTACTGGGAAGTTAAAAAACGTAATTTTTTACACAAAAAACGTCCAAACGTCAACAGGATACAAAAAACCTCCAATGACGGTAAAAACGTCAACCTGGCAGCGCTGCTCGTAGCGGCAATGAGACGAGGCACGAGAAGTTTGGCTTGCTCGGCAAACGAGCGAGTGCCGCTGCTATTAAACGAGCGAAGCTGCTGTGTGCAGTGTTGCCAGGTTGACGTTTTTAACGTAATTTGGACGTTTTTTGTATGCTGTTGACGTTTTTGTGTAAAAAATTACGTTTTTTAACTTCCAAGTAATTTTTCTCTATGCACAATATCGCACGTTTAATAATATAACGAAGAAAATTTCAATTTTGTGGGATAATGCAATCAATTCATACAGTTGATATACAAAAAGACACATGGAAATACGCATATCTTCGCGATATTTGGGAACATTGGTTATCTGTTATACTGAACATATTCTACTTACCAGCTTATTAATTGCATAATGAGATCTTCAAAAACGTAAACTTTGAGTTACATCTCTATATTATTAAACGTGCGATATATTCAATGTATAGCGTACTATTTGCTTGTAGAGTAAATACTTACGCTCACACTTTCGGCAAATTTGTTACTAAATCTCGTGAGTAGAACTGATTTAAAATTATTTTCTTAATAAATCTTTACAAGCTTTGTTTTTTGCACCAGCTGCTTCAAAAGATATTTATTCTTTGAACACAGATTACTTAAATATTATGCAAACCAAGCGTAAGCGCATTTTTTTTTATTCTTGGACTAATTGCAATGTTGCAATTGCTCATTAAAAGCCAAATCAGGAAGAGCTGATCGATTGCAACACGTACGCTCGAAAAAGTACCAAAATAGCTGTAGCAGCATAAAATTTAGAAAAAAGTAGGCGACTTTTTAAGACTTCCTTGAAAATGTAACGAACGTAAAAAAGGCTGAAATATTGCTATGTTCCTTGTGTTGCAGAAGGTAACCTAGCCAAATGTCTACAAGAACAAAAAATATTAAAAATCAACGCGATTCTTTAGCAACTTAAAACTTGCACATTATTGCTCCAAAATTTAATGGGCTATCAAACTGCATACTAAAAAAATTCTAAAAGATCAGAATAAAAAGTTGAAAATCTAGCTGAAACTTTGCAGATTTTTTATAATTTTTGCACAAAGTTTGAAATTTGGATTTATATTGTGTTTGTTATATAATGAGCTAGGCTTTTATGAAAAAATAATAAACATTAAATAAACAAAAGAAATACAGCCAAAATCGATCTAAATGTTGATGACTTAAGCAGCTGACAACAGGTGTATGTATAAAATGGTTTTTATATTAAACCAATTTACAATAGTGGTATGTATTCATCAAATTGAGCAATTCTAATGAATTCGATTCTAATGAATTTTAAATGTGCTCTGTCGAAATGACATTTTAATATACCTTACGTACATAGGTATGTAGGTTTGTATACAATAAAAGTTTAATAAGAACCATAGTGAAATAATATAGTGTGCTAGATAGCAATGACATTCTATTTCGGTACTCTTATATTAAGTTAAAATTATTAAAAATCAACGCGATTTTTTAGCCGCTTAAAACTTGCTATTGTTTTACTAGAATTAAAAAAACCGATCCATCTGCATACTCAAATTAAAAAGATCAAAATTTTGACGAAAATTCATTAAATTTTTCTGAGCTCTGTATAAAGTTTGAAAGTTTGACTTATGTGGTTTTGATTAAAGCATGAATATTATTTTTTATAAAACAAATAACAAAAAAAATTTAACTTACAAAACATTGTAAATATTAAACACTATGCATTCACTTTTGGTTGCCAGTGTACATATATTCTTCCATATAACGCATGAACGAAATGCTGAAAATAGCACCTTTTTGTACTAAAATTGAACGGGATTCAATACAATATACTTTTGAATTTTGCTACTATCCGCAACTGTATATAAAATTTGTTTTCATTCATGAAAGCCAGAGAGATCGGTTTTTTAATTAACTAAAATAATATACATATCAAGGCGTATTTAACAAGCTGGTGTTAGCCGTATATAATTAAAAAATTACACTAACAAATTATACGCAGATATTCATACTGCCATTGGTATGAATTACAAAAAACCCATCATTATGACGTATGTATTGCTTTTCAAAGCGAAAAATTCAGCTGTCGCCCCAACACCACCTTGTTAAATACACCTTGATACATATGAAGACACTGAGTGCACAGCGATTTGGAATTAGTTTCGCTCCAAGAAGCTAACGACGCTTTGGGACAATATCTCGATTGCAGCCACCTTCTTCTTTTCAATTTCAATCAGCTCTGCAGTTAATTTATTGTTTTTTGCCATGGCTGTTTTAATGGTTTCGTTCAACTCGCTTATTTTCTGATTTTTTGTTTTTGTTGCAGGTGTGGAGACTTCGCTGAGGGCTGGAGACGATGGTGCCGAAAATGTAGGGGACGGCGAAATTGGCGACGTAGGCGGCATAGCTATACAATAATACAATTTTAAAACCCCTTTTAGTTAGAAATAATTAATATACATAAATAAAATTACCTGTTATACTATCCACCACGACAGCATCAACATTATTTATTCGGTCGTTACCAATTATGCGGTGTACCCTTTCATAATGCTTCCATGTAGCAGGAGAGCACCCGGTTCCTTGGCCTGCTTTGCATTTTCTGCAAAAGACAATTAACAGCATTACTAAAATGAATACATATTTATAAGTATGTATGGGAAATGTTGAGTTATTTTTACAACAATTTTGTGGTGTGGAGCAAAGAGGGAGGGGGTGTAGGGTCTAAAACCGCCCCCATTAGAAAGAGTACAGTCCAGGCTTTCAGAAAATGTAACCTTCCCCTCTTAGACCCCTCTACGGACCCCCGGGCCGATTTCAAACTGGGGTAAAATTAGCATTTCATTATAGAAAGTGTAATGTTGTCCACAGTATTTTTGCGCAGAACACTTTGCACATTGGCGTCCTTAGGCCGCGACCGAATGGGTGACCCGAGGTCGCAGCCAGAGTTATGTGCACAAGAAATGTTGTATACCTGCGACAATACAAGAGGCGCTTCCAAAACGGAAAGGTGTTCTGCACAAAAATATTGTTTACCGAGTTTATATTTCCGGCGTGAAAATGCTAATTTTATACCATCTTTCAATGGTTGCCCAGGGGTCTGTGAGACGTTTCGAGGTGTCAAGTGTGACTTTTGGCAAAGCTTGAGCTGTGCTCTTTCTATTGGGTTGGATATCAAGAGCGACGCCCGCTCCCCCGCCGCCAACAAATCCAGAAAAAGAGGGAAAATAACTAAACGTTCCCCCGTGGGCGGAAGTCCTCACATCAATATCATTTTACAAATAATACCACATAATATCATATTTCTTACCTATATTTCATAGTAAAGTTATGAATTTTATATTTAACATCAATTGGGCGGACTCCGGCCGCGAAAGCTGCCAGCGACTGCGCCATTTCCGCATATATGTGCGAATTCTTTCGCAGACCGCGCAGTTCGCTTGCTTTTTCCTCCCACAAATCAACAAAGGCGTCATCCGCTGCTGGTACCCAAGTAGCTTTAGTTTTTTTTAGTATTTTCCATCTTTATTTAACTTTTAAAAATTTATAAATTCACGACGCCGGCAGTCAATTAAGAAAATTAAATTGACATGTTATTGACAGCTGCAAAACATTGTTGCCATGTTTTGATAAGAATGAAAGAACAAAAGAGAAAAAATGACGTAAATGAACACAATTGCCATCATTTAATATTAAAATACAAACGAACCCAACATAAACACGCTGTGAAAGATGGGTTTGAAGTGAGTTTGGGTTATGATATTTGTATGGGATTTGACAAGTGTTTTGACTGATGTTTGCGATTAAACACGCTAGCGGCAGAAAACCCAGGGTTTGCCTCTTGGTGGAAACGTAATATTATTTGACAATTTATTATCACAAGTTTTTATTATGCCAAGAAATTCTTGCCGCCTGTACAAAAGCACACATATCGTTGCAGGACTTATGTTTACAGTCCGGAAGAATGAGTAGGGTTCGAATGATACTATCGATATTGAGTAAGCATCGATACTGAGGGTATAAAAATGAGTACTTTAATACTCGATACCTTATTTGGTGATTTTACACGATACTTTGCAAAGTACCTGTAGTATCGAATACTTTTTTAAAAACAAACTTTTTAAATTTTTTCTTCCATTTCCAACCCAATTTTCTTTACTTGTATGAATTACTATCATTAAATTTTGTCCATAACTTAAGATAAACTGTAATTTCGTGTAGTCTGTTGCATAACATAAACCAAATAAGTTAAAGTTTAATGGCCTTATTCATAAAAAATAAAGTAGGTTTAAAGAGCTTAATAAAATAACATTTTCATACATTTTTCAGTTTAAACCCTTTCTCATTTTTTATGAATAAGGCCATAAAACTTTACGCAAAGTTCACGAAAATGAAGAATTTTTAGAAACTTTTTGGGTATGCAGTTTTGTAACCTATTCAACTTTACGTGTACTACCGTTAACTTTTAATTCAAACTTGCTCATTATTATACTAAAATTGAATAGGCTACAAAAATGCATAACGAAAAAGTTTACAAAAAGTAAGTTCCGCAATGAAATAAAAATCAAATATTTTAAATTTTTATTGTTTTAATTTCAGGAAATAACTAGATATGCGACTGAAGAATAAAATTATTTTAGTATACCAAAAAACGTATTTTAATGAGTCCGATACTGAGTAGTATCGATACTTTTTCCCTGATACTTTAGAGTATCGATACCATGAGCTCGATGCCAGAATGAGTACTCAGTATCGATACCAAAGTCTCAAATTTCGAACCCTAAGAATGAGGATCAAATCCGAAATTGGACTGAGTTATGCAACAAAACCAATAATAACAATATCAAATTTTGGTTTGAAATATGAAGACGTCAGTTTACCTGGTACACTTTATATTATTTCCCTATGATAAGAAGAATTCTGTGCGCATACATTTGGAAAAGTCGTTTTTGGGTAGGAAATGACGTTTTTTCAGACCAAGAGGGACGTTTTCTCATGCCGAAGACCTGGAAACACTGGCTGTGTGTTGCCTCGCTCGCAGTGCCGAGGCGAGTAGCTTTCTGCATACTCGCTCGGCTACGTAAAGCCTGATATACAGTTCAATGCGAGCGTGAGCTTTTTATTTTGACCAATATCTTAGTTATTACTCAACTTTTTGCTATAGTTGAGACATGAAAAGATAGAGAATTAAAATATCTTTAGAATTATAGAATAAAAACTAATTTAAAATGCATAATATGCCTTTTTTCGAACTCACACTCAACTGTGTCCGTACGCAAAGCATTCGCATGTGAACGGCAAGTTTTAACAGATGTGTGTGAGCGTCCATAAGAATACAAATGGAATTCTTGGCCTTTGCGAACGTTCACGCTCACGCTCGCATTGAACTGTATATCAAGCTTAAGACGAATGAGCGATAAAACTGTAAAAGTAACGAAAATTTGGATACCAGTATGTCTTCGTTATTAATCCAATCAATACCCGTATCTTTCGTATCGTTACTTTACTCATTACTTTTGATACAAGCACTTGTACCTCACAAGACTCATCGCAACAAATCTTGCAGCGTAAGGAAATCTTCGTTCGTACATATGCATACATGTACATACCCTGCAAAAAATGGGACTAATCCGGGATGACTCCGGGAGCAATCGCAAAGGAGCATGCGACTAATAACACTTTTGATCTCTTTATATGGAATGAACTGATCACTTTTGTTCGAGCATGTCCTATGAAGAGACTAATTGTTCACCTTTATACCCGAACGGGTATAAAAAGCGTCTAGTCACTTTTAAAAAATAAAAATAAAAATTTGCGCGAGGTGAGATTCGAACCGGGGTGCTCAGTTTTGTTAGGCGAATACTCTCTCTGTGTGCCAACGCCGCACATGAAATTTCATTGACTAAGTGCGTACATATTATCAAATCGTTAATAGTACCCGTTAGAGATGAGTTGGGGACTAATTGGTCTCCAATTATACCCATAAGTGATGAGTCGAGACTAATTGACCTCCATTAGTACCCGTACGAGACTAGTTGGGACTAATTAATGCCCAATCGTACCCGATTGAGAGTAATCTCGGAATACTCTCTTTAGAGATTAGTCGCACAATTTTTTGCAGGGTATATACATATGTATACAAGCAACATATTTTTGTATCGATTCGAACAATTTGATACAATCAAGCACTTGTACCACACACGAATCGTGCATGCATGTACGTACATACACACGCAACACACTTTAGTATCGATACGAAAAACAGTTTCGTTCCCGCACATGTTGTGTTGTATTGATTCACGTTGATGGTGCATATACGGAACATGCGAGTAACGAGATTATTATTATGTGAGTAACGCTTCGGTACTTCGAGTCAGGGGTTGTATTCGTTACTCAGTAACGAATACATACGGTTTGCTACAGCTCTAGTGAGCGACGAGCGAGCGCTCCGAGTGTACTATACAACCCATGCCTTTTTGGGCATAAAAATGTGTGAATGTATTACCATGTTTATATGATGCTTCAATTCGTTCTAAGTTAAACCATGTTATTTGGACACGCACATGTAAACACATTCTTAAATCGAATTGAAACTTTTAACCGTGCCACCATAAATCACATTTTGAATGCGAGTTAAGAGTTGTTGAATCGTGTTAAGAGTGCATATAAACACGGGATTTGACCACACGTTGTTTCATGCAACTCTGAATGAAGTAAAACATTTAAATAGTTCTTGAAATTACATTTAGACTAAGCTTTCTTACAAAATTAATAGCTAATATCCTTTTTCATGGCTGTATGGGTCTTTAATTACTATTTTTCCATGTTTATTATTTTCAAGAAATGACACATGTATTAACAGGGTTGCATCGGGATGAACTCTGTTTGCAAGCGTGTTCGATCGACTCATTTCTTTAGTTTCATATAAACACTTGCATTTCAAGCGAGCTACACTGACACGAGTTAATTCGATACCGAGTTTGATGCCATATACCAACACCAAAAAAGTATGTCTGAAAAATATTAAGATTTAAGCGAGCTGGACCGATTTGAAATTACCTCCAAAAATGGAGCTTTTATGAATAAAAATAGTTCGTTAAAGAACTTCTTGAAAAAAGCCCCCTCAGATGACAAAACAGATTAGGCTTAAAAAATCTGTAGAAAAATATTTAAAAATCTTTTCAACGGAATCGTAATAATGAGATTTTTGATGCTGTTTTTTTACTTTTTTCAAAGATTGATTTACGAAAAACTTAAATAACTGGGCCAAAACTATTCTGATTTAGACTTATGGTATCTCGGTAGAAAGGTATTTTCCCGCTATTTTTATTTATGTACAAAAAAAAGTAATTCGTGTTCAATTTTTTTTCAAATACCAACACATCTTAATTAAATTTTGAATGAATTTCGTTCATCCTACCTTTCTCTTTCATCCTTTGAATGAGCTTATTAGCAAAGAAATAAAAAATGTAAGAAAATACCTTTCCAATGATACCTCACAAGTCTCAATCGGAAGAGTTTAGGTTCAGTTATTCAAGTTTTTCTTATAGGGCATTCGCACGAGGCGATTTTACAGGCAACAAAAGTTGAATACGAAGTTGAATGAGAAGTTGAAAGTGAAAAAGTTGTTCACCCTATTCAGACGAGGCGATTTTTGATTCAACACGAATTGTTATTTACATTATTGAAAATGAATTTAAATCGCAAAATTTTATGAGTTGGCGTAAATTTGGTAAGCCAAGCGTCGGTAGAGCGAAGCTGAGAGATAAAATAAGAGTAAAAAAGTAAAAACGGAAAAAAGTATGTATACAGAACAGTGTTGGTATTTTTGGTATAATTGCACTTGTTTGATGCAATTTCATTTACAATATACTTTCCTACTACGCAGTACTTTTTAGTACAATTTTTTAATGAATACTAAAAATATATAGCTCTGAAAATACACAGCAAGAAATTTTTTGTATTGTCTTTTGTTCGCCTGTTCGTATTTACCTTTGTAAGTTTTGAAAAATTGCTTGAAACAACCAGTATAATATATAGCCTAGGCAAATTTTTAAAGAAACTTTTCGATACTAAGTTTTATTAAAATAAAATGTCGAAGAAACAAAGTCCTCGTTAGTTACAAGAAGAGATTTTCTTAAATATAATACCATTACGGCACTCACATATTGACAAGATTTTACTATTTATTTCATTATTCTTTAATTTGAATTATCTGTTTATAAAATATAATGTATTCTTTAAGAAAAACTTTGCGAAACATCCAAAAACCAACATACTTTCGTAAAAATTTCGAGCTTTATTAATATTCTTTAGTTTTTAGCCCATTCAGTTTTAGTATAATAAAGTGCAAGTTTAAAGTAGCTGGGATTTACCGTTGAATTTGGTAATTTTTTTGTCGACGATGTCAGCCATTTTCTTCCATACGAAGTGTGTTCGACGATTTTTTTATATGGAGAAAATTAGCAACACCTTCATCAAAGAAATCTTAAAAAACTTAGTTATATTAAAATTTAATGGGGTAAAAAACCGCACGCTTAAAATAAATCTAGGAAATCGAATTAAAAAGCTCGAAATTTTTACGAAAGTGAGTTGGTTTTTT